TGTTTTACCAGAAATTTCCAAGGTTAAGAGATAAGCATTTCAAGACACTCTGTTCATGATTCCATCAGGCCCAAGATCTCCATCGAAGTATTCCCAAATACAATCTCACATATATAAAGAATTTTTTTCTTACCTGCCATCACTCCATAGGTTGATGCCTGGTTTCCATAATGACAGGAAGGAACAGAATAGTGAAGTCCTGTTGCTGTGTTTCCCAAAGTTGTCACCGAGAAATGTATGTGCAAACATTTAGGAGTTTGGATCAAAGACAAAATAGACGGGACTGGTAAGAAAATGTATGAGGACTGAAGACACATTTGTTTCACTTAAAAAAACATACATTCATGTGATTTTTAAAGTTATATGCCAATAATTTTTTCTCCTTTAGGAGAAGAGTTCTCTGATGAGTAGTTTAAAATTATGGACCAAGGTTTGTCTGAAGTAATAAGATCATAAACCACCAACAATCCTTGTGCTCTGTGCTATGGATGTCCAATGAAGTGTTGGAGGAATTGCCTCTTAAAATTCTTGTATAACACAGTATTATATAGTGGTCTTTCTCTGGAAGATTTAATACAGGAATCTAGTCTTCACCAGTCTTTACTTTTGTTTTATTTTCCTAACAAAATTCTTTAACCAAAGAGAAAATGGTGGAGCAACTAACCTCATTTTGGATACAAGCATAAAAACCTCACTATATTCAGGGTGTTATAACAAACCCATGACAATATATATATATTTTTGTTGCTGGTGAAACCATGAAAGGTTTTTCTGTAGACACAAGATCAATTCAATGATTCCGGTGACAGAGCTCGTTAAAAATAAGTTAATTGTTGAGTCACTTGACATGCATAAAGGCTGAACCAAATATATAAACATAATCTCATTCACAAACAGTTATATGCCTTTTGGAATCAATGTATATTTTGAAAGTAAATTTAAGTTAGTGAACTTTCATTAAGCTTTAAACGCTAATCACCAATTTGACTCTGACCACCACTACAAAATCAGTATTTTGTTTTGTTATTTTTCCTTCAAGTCCTGAGTATAGTGCTCAGTTTTCACTAGTATATCTTTTTGAATTAATATAGGAGATATTATAATTTATAGAGTTAGAATGCTTTGAGGAAATTTAGATATTCTAGAGATTATATGATCTTCTAATTAAAAACATGAAATCCCTTCAGAAACTAAAATGTTTTTGTTAAATATAGAAAATTTTTGATGCATTAATTTTCATTTTATAACTGACATGTAGAAAGAACTGAAGTCATTTTACTTTATAATTATTACACAGAAAAATCTCTTATTATGAATTCCAAAGTTAAGCAAATAAACTTGAAACACATTTAGTACACAAATGTTCTTCTTATTATAACTAATATTTTTTTTATTTCTTACTTGGAAAATAAGTACATGATTATTTTATGGAAAAATTATAAATCAATGCCATCATCATTTAAAACATATTTAGGTCATTTTTACTGATTATTATTATTATTTTT